AACATTCACAAGTATAACACATTTTTGATGACAAAATGGTTTATTTAATTCATAAGACATTTTATTACAATCATTCCAAGCATTGTTGGTTCTAATGAACTTCCTATTTAGATCTGATTGTTTTGACTTCTTAGAGTGAATCTGCTTTGTTTTCTTCTTATCCCTTCCAACTCCTTTGGCCTTTAGAAGCCTCTCTGAAACAGAGGAATTAACAATAGAGTCAGTAGCGGATTTTCCCTTCTGTTTCGGAGTGAACTTAATTGGCTTAGAATTAGGTTTAGAGCCCTTTGATGCAGAGGAAACAGACTTAGTATTCTTGGCCTTGTATTCAAACTTTGGATAGAATTTAGTTCTTGCTGTCATGCTAACAAGGCTAGAACCTATGAGAGTCTTTTTCTTCTGTCCTAAAGCAGAACTAGATTCATTAGACTTCTCATTTGGGAGTTTTGCAACTTCTGGTCCTGTTGCTACAATCTCTGTCTCAACTTGCTCTATACTTGAGTCTACCTCTGACTCAGAGTCAGAGTCAAGAAAATCCTTGTGTGAATTTCGAAGTGCAGAAGTATCATTAAGAACTTGAGATTCTCGTACGCATGAACTAGAACCTTCATCCATCTTTTGTGTTGAAAAACTTTCAAAAGTATCCGAGGAATTGCTCTCAAAAGAACTTGTATGGCCTTTAGAAGGATAATTCAAGGCCTCAAGCAAATCTTGCTCGAAAACCTGTCTCACCATTTCTGTGAAGTCATCCAATAATTTTGGATCCAAAGTTTTAATAAAATTCTCTGTAGATGAACTCTTGATTTCATCTGGTTCTGGTTTAACAACCTCACCGTTAGTCTTAGGATGTTCAAGAATAGTAGAGCCAAAACAAAAGATCTCGTCTGTCTTCTGTATGCTATTGAGATCAACTTGTTGCATACTTTGGAAGAATAAGAGATATTTTTGAATTTTAACCATTGAGCTTCGGCCCCATTCTCAAGTTTACATATTTTCAAGGGTGAAGCTGAATGCAGAGATGGAAAATCTGGTTTTTGCTTTTCTCCTAACCTAAACACAGATTCAAGAGTAGTTTTCTTCTTCCAGGTGAGGTATAGGTCTGTATAACCTATCCCTGCTCTATCCTGTTGAGAATTAACTTTTTCATACACTTGCTGAGCATCTTGATATTTTTTTATTAAGAGCTCTTTTCTTTGTAAGCTCTGGTATAAAATTCCTTTTGAAAATAGTTTTTCAGGGCTTCAGAGTTTAGTCTGTCACGTTCCTTTTCTAAAAGCTCTTTTTCCTTCTTTTGTATAGCCGCTTTTAGTTTAGAGCACTCTGATTTAAGACTTATTTCAATGGAACGTTTTGTTTGTAGAAGTTTTTCATTCTCCACTGACAATTCTTGTTTTTCTACAGTTAATAGCTCTGTCTCACGTTCAAAGAATAACTTTTCTTTTTCCAAAGACTTCCTTTTAGATTTTTTTGACAGAGAGTTTTTGTTGTAGATTTATGAAGTCATTTGTTAAAGTAGAGATGCTTTCTTCCAGGTCAGAATGAGAATAACCAGAGATGGAACATACCTGGGAGTCAGAGTCGGAGCCAGATCCAGACTCTTCTGTGTCATTCTCAACAGCCATTCCACAGAAATGGGCTTGGTCTTCTTCTTCTTCTTCTTCTTCAGATGAGGAGTCAGAGACCCAGTTCTCCTGTTCAGCCATGAGACTCCTTTGGGATCGATTATACTTGTACTTATTTTTGTAATACAACTCATCTTTCGCCAAAGGGCCTTTATACTTTTTGGAGTAGTGCCCCATCTTCCCGCATCTAAGCATCTGACAGCTTGCTTCTTCTATTCAGACTACTCTTCCTCCTTCTTTTTTGATACAGAGGGAGGGTTCCTTCCTTCAAAAGCTTTGCTTCTGCTTCGATCACCTTGTATAAATTTGAATATCTTGATCTTGGTGCTGAATTTCAAATTAAATTTACAAACTCTTCTGATGAGGTTGAAGAACTAGAAGACCTGAATAGGAAGAGAAAGAACAAAATGCAAGTTCCCTTTGACTATTTTGAACTAAATGAAAGTTATCAAAGTCAAGTTCCTGCACTTTTTACAGATTATTTTCACAGTTATTCCAAGGCAGAACTTGAATCAAAACCAGTTGAACCAAAACTTTATACTCCAACTTTGGTTTTAGAAAAAACAAGTGGTTCAGCTTGAAAGAACTTTAAAAGAAGAAAGACTTTCATTTCAATAGGAAAAGAAGAATTTTTAAATAAAATTGAAAGTTTTGAAAAATCAAAAGTCAAAGAGGAATATGTTGAGTCTGAGTATTTTTCTTGTTCTAAATCTTCAAGTGATTTTTCTGAATCTGAAGGTTTAAAATTTTCAACTGAAGAGCTTAATTTTTTGGAAATCTTGAATTCAGATTCTTGTTTAGATAAAGAGATTAGTCAATTTGAATTCTCTATACAACTCCCCAGTCATGAAGAGTTTATTTTAAATAAAAATGAAAATACTGTGGATTCTGACAGGGCTTCAGATTTTGAAAAAGTTTTAAAGAAAAACTTGTTTATGAGAATGTGTATTATAAAAGAAATAAAATCAAAAGAAATTCTAAGGAACAGAAGAAGAGTATTGTGAAAAATATGAAACATAAAGTTCATCGTAAATCTAAATCTAAAGATTTTGTTTCTCATGTTTCAGATAATTCATTGAAGTTTAAGAGAGTCCGGAAAGTGAAGGATCTACGTCTGCAGATACACATAAATTATCAAATCAGCATAGGAAGAACCATTTTGCAAGTTTTGTACTAAATAACACTATGAATGTAAAGAAATATTCATTCAGTGAACTGTTTGATATCAAGAAAAGCAAAATGAGTTGTTCTTTTTGTCAATGGGATGAATTTGTGCCTTTTACTTCTTTTAATGCTCATCATGTTATGCATACTGATATATCTGTTATGAAAAGAAAATAATTTTCAAAGAAAGTTGGTTTGGTAATTACAACATACCACCAACTCGGGCAAATCTGAAAGGACCCATACTGAAATGGGTACCTAAATCCAACTGATTCAAATGTGTAGGTAAATCGGCATGTGTGGTTCTTAGACTCTAGATGCTCTAAACACATGACTGGTAGGAAAGAATTACTTTCTAATATTGTTGAATCTTTTGGTGGCACGGTAAGGTTTGGAAATGATCAATACGCGCCTATCCTTGGATATGGTGACGTAATTTCTGGAAATTTAATGATAAAGAAAGTGTCGTATGTCGATGGACTTGGACATAATATGTTTAGCATAGGTCAATTATGTGATAAAAATCTGGAAGTTTGTTTTAAAGCTAACCAGTGCAGTGTCCGTACTACTGATGCTAAGGAACTTCTCACTGGATCCAGAAAATATAATCTCTACACGATTGACTTATCAAATGCACAAGTGGATACTGAAGTCTGATTGATATCCAAGGATTCTTTGCAGCAAAACCTATTGTGGCATCAACGTCTTTCTCACCTGAATTTTAAGAATCTGAACAAGTTGGTATGTGACAATTTGGTGAAAGGTCTTCCAGAGCTGAAATTTAATAAAGATAATATTTGCGCAGCGTGCGAAATGAGTAAAATGAAGGGAGTTTCTCATAAGATCAAGGCAGAGTTCAATATTGATCGTCCTTTACATCTACTTCATATGGATCTTTGTGGTCCTATGAGAGTTCAGAGTATCAACGGGAAGAAGTATGTGTTAGTCGTTGTTAACGACTACTCCAGATACACATGGGTTTATTTCATAAGGTCTAAAGATGAAGCTGCAGAGACAATCATCTCACTCTTGAAGAACGTTCAAGTTACTTACAGTTATCCGTTCAGAAAATCAGAATGGATAATGGAACATAACTCAAGAATAAGACTCTCGATACATTTCTGGAATCTCATAGTATCTCTCATACCTTATCGGCAGCCCGGACACCACAACAAAATGGTGTTGTTGAGCGAAAAAATAGAACACTAGTGGAAGTAGCTCGTACACTCCTAACTTTCTCGAAGCATCCTCTATTCCTTTAGGCTGAAGCAGTTGATACTGCGTGTTTTACCCATAATCGATCTCTCATACACAAAAGGTTTGGTAAAACACCTTATGAACTCATAAATAAAAGAATACCTAATATAAAATTCTTTCGAGTTTTTGATTGCAGGTGTTTTATTCTGAACGACAAAGAGGATAGAGGTAAGTTTTCTGCCAAGGCCGATGAAGTTGTCTTTATTGGTTACTCTAAAAACTTTGATGCTTATAAGGTCTATAACAAGAGGACAAAAAGTGTGAATGAGAGCCTAAACGTTTCATTTGACGAAGTTGTAGATGTGGCTTCTGAATAAAACAATTCAGGACCTGGACTGATAATTAATACTTCGTGGAACGCAAATCTCAATGACTCTTTCTCTTCTGATCTTAATATTTCCGATTTAGATTCATTGTTTGAAAACTTTTATGATGACTACTTTGACGACAAACCTAATGAGTCAAATATTTTGTCCAGGAATGATAAACATATTCAATCTAAACAACAGTTATCTGGTCCTTCTGTTGATGTTCCAGTTATTGTATCTGAAGAAATTTCTGAAAATGTCGATGAAGAGATTGAAATGGAAAACCCAAATTGTCCAGTTCAGTGTGAAGAGGGATTGAACATCAATCTGCCAGAGGTTTCGGTCATTCAAGATGAAATTTTTTTACCTCAGTCAGAAATTCATCCTAGTTCAGTTCCAAATCCCGAACCTGTTCCGGACAATTCCCCCAATTCTTACACGGATCAAACAATTTCATGAAATTTTTACAAGATTAAAGGTCTAGAGATTGGTTGCTCATCCCAGAAACAATTTCACAAGATTAAACAATTTCATGAAATTTTTTCATAAGATTACGACGGATGAGAGTAGTTTTTACGGTTTTTACAAATTGGAGTGGTTTTCATTTGATCATTCCTCTATATATATATATATATATAAAGCCAAGTTGTAGTTTAAATGTATAAATAGAACTCAGAAACCATCGCTTACATAAATGATGAGGAACTTAGTGTTCTAAAAAGACCAAAATGTTGAGAATTAAGTACTAAGAACAAGATTCAGTTCAAGTTATTACATGCACCTTATTCATAAGGGATTTGGATATAAGCCGCTTCCGAAACAAACGGAACATCCGCATATACACCAGCAAGACAACAGCGGATGCACTCCAGAACCGTAAAAAGAAACGCAAACGCAAACGCAGTCCAAAAATGCATCCCGACCTTACCCCAGTACCAGGCACTAGGCAGCCATCGCCACACGGTTCCTGTCACCTGCAGCGTAATTTCCAGCAGCATTCCCGTCACCACATGAAATCTAAAAAAGTGGGGCCACTCTTTTCTCCTAACGACTGCAAGATATGCAACTATGAAATACGCAATCAAGAACCAGCTCGGAAGTCCCCCAAGAGCACTCAAAAAAGGGTAAGTCAACTCCTCAAAATCTTCCAGGAAAGGGTGGAGGTGAAATGCGGTTTCTGCATACATCCATGTTTCATGGAGTGGCATTAGGTATGGCAAAGCTGCCAAAGTCCTCCACCACCATCTTGGCTTTTTATCCATCGGGGGGAACTTGAAATTGAATAGAGAATTAGCATCCTTTGATGCTCTTGGAGAAACAGTAGAGTGACGTTTTCGGGATAAGTTGGGTGATATTTTGTGTGTGAAAAGACCTAGATGCCCACATAATGGAGATGATGCAGCAGAAAGATGAGCAACTGGAGCTCCTGCTATTAAAAAAATGACAAGAGAAACGAAACTTGAATCAAAAACCGAACCGAACAAACTCGGTATATCTCATACGAAAGCATGCAGTCCTATCCTCCACCCAAAGGGTAGAGCGGTTGTTTCCATAAGTACCTGTGGTTTGTGCAAAAGCTTGTTCAAAAAGGAAAGAAGAGCAAAGCCTAGCAAACAGAAAGCAACTAGAAAAAGAAATAAGAAAAAAGAAACCTCATTTAATCTAAAACAGAGTGATTAAGTTCACATATAATGATATAACTTATTTAAACACTGCAGGGAGTCAATAAATTAAATTACATAAAACCCTAGAACAAGATCTTAGCAATTACAGTTATTGACCATATGTCTTCTACTATTTTCCAGTAGAAAAACATGTCTCTCCACCCTTATCTGTCATTTAAACCACAATTCCTGCAAGTACAGTTTGATTTGCCTATAACAATGTCAGTAATAAAGATTTTCATCTTGTGAACTATCAGATACCATTGCCATCGAGACTCATGGAAGTGGACACCACACTGATCCTCAAACCCGTGAATAGTGAACAGATATATAAGCACCTTTTGGATTTTTCATTCTAGAGAACAATCCAAAGGATATTTCCACCACTCTGATGATCTATTCTGTAAAGCTTCTATTTATATGTACAAACATATGCACACACAAATAAAAGCATGTTTATGTTCTAAAAAGTTTTATCAAATACATGCTCGTAAAGAGCATTTCCGCTTAAGGGGTAATATTGACTTCACAAGTGAGAAATAGTAAAAACAAACAGTGAAAATCATTTGGGTAAGATTGAAGAGGGAGAAGCGAAGAAAAGACAACAAATTAAACCTTACCCACCAGCCTAAATAAAAGGATATCTAGGAAGTCGGGACCTTGCAGGTTAGTGAAGCTGCGATTTTAACATAAGACAAGTGTTTTGGTGACCAAATTGAAGAATCTTCTGTAAATTGGTTATCAATTTTGAAGATTTGGCTGATCTTCTCATACAAAAAAAAAATGCTTAATGAACAGAAAGTACTGAAGTGGTATGTCTTTTGGAAGCAGTGTTCATTTATTGTCATTGTCCTATGCAGAATTGAGTTGCTATTAGTTTGCATATGTTGTGGTGCCTAGTTACGAAGAGTCATGATACTTGAAATATATCTTGGGCGAACTGAGACCTTCATTTCAATTGCTAGCCATTGGATTTTCTAGACCATTTTATAATTAGATTACAACCAATGCTAGCCATTGGCACCTTAAATCCTCATGATTGCCACTATTCCAACATGCATCACATGTTTCTAGATTAGATGCAGATCACCAAGCACATCTTTATGAATATTCCTTCTATGTTCTACCACTCGAGTTGCATTACATATACATATTTCCAAGCTTTCATGTAATTTTTTTCCTTTCAGTCTAACAGTTCCTTCAATAATCATCTTCCACTCCACATTATCTTTTTGGTGATGGAGATCATTGAGCTTTGCTGTATCTCTATATGTATTTGTTCAAATATGGGAGTTGCATACCATTTATTCTGTTATGCCACAAACGAATTTGCATCCCTCTGACTTGAAGATATTTTCTGCACCTATACCCTAGGTCTAAGCCTCTACTCCAAACCCAAGATGCATCCGTCATCACTAATAAATGGATAATTTTCTAATTTCTACACTCTTTAACTGTTCTTGAATATAAATAACTGTGGATTTATATAAATAAAAAAAACCTTCATTAAAGTTGGGTCGTTTAACAAATAAATAGCACAAATATTCAACAATAAATGCTATAAGAACCCAAGTCTTCTTATTAGATACAACATTTAAACATGTATGATCTCACATGAGAGTTGCACTGCATATCAAACTTTTCCAAGCTTTCATGTAACCTCTCAGTACCTTCAATAGTTTGATGATTGCATGAAACTCCAGTGTACACTCTCAAGTTGCCTATTTGTAATGGAGATCATCGAGGTTGACTAGATTCATCATGTGTTCTTTTTCTAAAGGTGGCTTGAGGAGAGGGTATTGGCCACACGACCTCCAACTCTCCAAGATATTACCACCTAGGGGATATGCTTAAGTACCACCAAGCTAAATGTTTGATGGCACATTCCAAATACTCTCTTAGTTCCAAGCCTCTTATTTCAAACACAGGATGCATCCATCATTAACATAGATGCATAAATATTCTATTCTCCAGCTGTTATTGAATTTATGATAAACCCTTGAGTTAAAAAAATATATTCATTAATGTTGGGAACTTGGGATGTTTCAAGAAATAACATCACATATTCAACAATCAAGAATTCCACATGCCTAGTCTTTCATTAAATATTGCACCTTAAACATGTATATATTCTCAAACCCATTTTCCTTTATTGTATCTAACAAGTTCAGGTAGTCTCGAAATAATTAGAGCTTTTTCCCTGAGGTAACAAGTTGCTTTTTCCACTGTCGAACTCCAATAAATCCTAACTCAGATGCATCATCATTAGAATGTTAAATCCATCAAAATGCTTTAATTTATTTGAAAGCCTCAGGGATTGCATAAAGCCTTCTATGCTCCTAGAAATCTTAAGTTCTCCTCCATAAACTCCCTTTCGCTGGGAATCTCACATGAATAATAGCAATAGCTCCTATACTACTTTTCCAACACATGAGCATTTTCTTGAAGAAAAAAATATGGACATGCCTAGCTATATGACCACACCTCTGTGTATATTTGTAGTCTGGTCAAGATAAACAAGTATATATTTATAAATGTTGTAAATTGGTGTAGTAAGATTAGAAAATCTATATGCAATCAATCAAAGATTTTATTTCATGTTTATGCATCTCAAAAAAAGGGTTTGCATCTGCTACTCAAATTTATCCGCCAATAAATTACTTGTTACTTTAGAATTCATTTCGATCATCTAATTGACAAACCACAAAATCTGCCTTATATTCTGGGACAAGAGGAATAGTTATCTTCAGATAAATAATAACTCACCAAATATTGTGCTCTATGCTCCAAACATATCATACTCTCTTACAATTACAGTTTTTCTCACGTTGCAAAGGTTACGGTCAAGTATGCGATCCTCTTTAACCGAGTTAATGCACTGCAAACCTAACATTATTACTTTCACAGTTTCAGTACTTATATTTTAAGTCATGAAATATATCACGTTACAATGAAATTCTGAAATATGGTCAATGGATTTGGTTTAAATCAACTCAGAACCTTGCATTTGCATTATCTTGAAAAGGTCAAGGATTATTTGTATGGATTTAAAACATAAATAACCTTGGCAGAAAAGAGAACTTGGCTATCGGTATCAATCTATTCAAAACTACATGAATTTGAACAGTCACAAAAAGGGCCTCGAGGGCCTTGGTCAATTTACCCAAAACTACATGATCATGAACCTTAATAGAAGACTTCATGATTGTTCGAAACATCAAGAGATCTATATATAGAAAAGCAAAACCGTAACATGCGTAAAAACCCCAGGTTTAACACGTATCTATTTCCAAATTTCTACGTGAATAAAACACCATATGTCTGAATATGCATGTTCCACAATCAAGTAGGAATAAGACCATCTTAAAAACCATGTCTAGTTGTATATAATCTAATAGGTCCAACGCTAAAGAAACAAAACTTAAGCACTGGTTCAAAACTTTAAGCAAAATAAAACAAGCTTGAGGCTACACAAACCTTGGGGAGAGAAAGATCTCAGCTCCTGTTGAGATTTCAAAGAACTACTAACCCTCGAAATAGAGAGTGTTTGTGGATGAAGAACACAATCAGACATTGCCTTCAATGGCTTGGTCTTACAGGTCTTGTAATTCACCCACTGTCCCCCACATGTAGAGTGTCCATTTAAAATCATATTGAGACACCTTGGTCCAAATCTGCACAATAAACACTTGGTATATTTATACTAGGATTCACAAAACCTAGAGAGAAATAACACCAACCAGACAAAATTCATTTGCATAAAAACATTACAAACCCCAGTACTAAAAAATCACATAGATTCGAGAATATCGTTGCCCCATTCCATCAAAAGGGATAAACTTCAACTTCGTATTGCAAAAATACTATGTTATTTTCCAGGAAAATTTGCAAACTGCATTAACGTTTAAGTCAATATCAATCAATTGCTAGAATGTATCCCTTTTCAACCAAACCCATGCCAATTTTGCAATTGAAAAGTAGTGGGTTCTATATCAAAAAACCAACTGGTAGTTTTTTTCTGGAACGAAAAGAGTTTCTTAGGGCTCATAGTTCCATCTCTTGTTTCAATGAGGAAACAAGTTAAGATGTAGTGAATGGAATTCACCTGTTGAATGTCTTCTTGACGAGGAAACAGCAACGGAGGAATGACGAAGACAATCGCGGATGAAGATGGACGGCCTCGTCTCCGAGTAGAGCTGAGGGTTTTACATAGAAAAGGATAATGCAATTTTATCGTCAGATCTTTCACAGTATTTACATAAACTACCCCATACTGTTTAATTTGAAACAAGAAAACCAGCGGCTCAAAGGAGAAGGGTCTCTTTACTAACAGCTTAAAGAGTATAATGAAATTTTGTGTAAAGATAAAAAAAAAAAAAACTAGTTGAAAAATGTAAAGTAATAAAAATCACATGTTAAAAATTTAGTTAATTTAAAATTTTATAATATATTTAAAACAAATCACTAATAATATGATATGCCAACAAAGCACCCCCAAATAGAAGACTCAATTGATGTCGCTCACCACATGGAAGACCTAAAAGAGAAATATGAAAACCCATCTAGATGTAAGATTTCTTATAGCATTAAATAGAGAAAACAATCTCTATTATCCTTGTAAACGTGACAACTACGAGTTACAACAATCAACCCCTCTTTTTATGGAGCCCTAAAACCAGCTCAAATATAGGGTTTATCAATTTGGTGCTTTCATCGACTACTCGATGCCTCCAAAACCAATGAAAGACCTGGAAAAGACTATCGCAGGTCATCCTCTTAGGTGGCAGACATGCACTCCACCGTCGTAAGCCCGTAATCTGCAGCCACCCAACAGCAAGCCAATCAAAAATCAATGACAACCATTCTCCAACAACTCCAAGCACAAACAACAACCATTCCTCATAGTTCACCAATCATACATAGCGTTGAATCCTCTGTTTCCCACCTTCACGAATGATTTACCCATAACTCTTCTCATTCCGACAAGGTTGGTTTCCAACCAAAAGACCCAAAAATACTATTACAAACTTTGGGTGGAACCGAGGTGCTAGATTGGATTTCTTTCCAGTAGACGGGTACCTGCCCCCGGAAGATAGATGCCACAAAAAATACCCTAAAATCTTTGTTGTGTGCCCTGACAATCAATATTCTCAATATTTGTACCTTGTTGAATAAGAAGAACTAGCCGTTTCTGAACAATCATCACTGTCCTTATTGAGTTGTAGCACTTACTTACTATATAAATGAACATAGGCTAAAAGAGAAAAAGAATACATACGACTAAAAGAGAGAACAATAACAAACTAACTTGAATCTCGTAGATGACGATGAAGCGATACAATCTCGTAGATAATGAACTCTGTTTAATCCCTCACTGGTAAAGGCCCTAAAACTACCACTTGGATCTGGAACCTACATGCTGATGCTCACGATTTCAATAGTCAATCTCACTACGAATCTACAGAAGTCAGGCAGTTGATTGTCTTCGACCATATCGATTGAATTCCCCACTTTCTAATGACCTTGCCTAGCTCTACTTTCTTTCTGATACCATGAAGCAAGTAAAAAGCGGTAACATAGCCCCGTTTTATCATCATCATAACAATTTTCTTGAGGTTGTTGTAGCTCACTTGAAGACTTCAATAGCACCTTTGTCTAAAGCTTCGAATGAAACTTCATATCCGAAACGCAGAAACGAGAGCCAAAAATGCACTCAATGAAGGCCACGACCGATAGTAGGGGTTTCTCTCTCAATTAACAAGCCCAGGGATCACAGACGAGATCTAACCTAGTGGTTTCTCGCTCAGAGCGATATTTTGCATTATACAACATGTCCAACGATCAACGCATCTCCATGGCGGGTTCAGCCATGAAAGGCGACGCAAGGGTGGTTCTGATGGATGACCCAAAATAAGCAATTTTATTCTTCAAAAACTTTCACCAAATAGTTAGAGACACATTCGGGTCATCCTCCTATGAAGACATTGAGTTTCCCTATTCAAATTACAACACATGTAAGGTCACCTCATTCTAGACTATTTTCAAGCGCCTCTCTAATCGTATTTCTGGTTTACCTCCTGATGCTCTCTTGGATTAGGTTGGTTCCGATGGATGACGTAAGATATTTTCTTCTTGGGAAACTTTCACCAAACAGTTAGAGACATGATTCGACCCATCATACTATGAAGACAATTGAGCTGCCCTATTCAAATTACAAGAATCAGGTATAGTCACCTCATTCCAGACTACTTTTGAGAGACTCTATAATCGTATTTCTATGTTAACTTTGGATCCTATTGATCTAGACTCTCTCGGTAATTTGATGATGATCCTTTGTACCTTGCAAAAAATACTTAGTTATGTTTTGTTCAGTTTCAGCGTTCATCGCTGAATCTGTTCAGTGATCGTTGAACATGTATTATAAACTTCTCTAATGAACAAGTATTCTTCAAGAATACATAACTCACACCAAAAGAACCTTCAGCAATGTCGAAGATAAAGATGAAGATAAAGATAGGAAGTTCATGAACTGAAGCGGTTTTCAAAGATAACAAGCATATCTACAATCGAGTGGGAAGTTTATTCAAGATTCAACGAAGAATGAAGAAACGCTAGAGTTATGCCAGTGCCAACGATCAAATGGATCTTGCTATATAAGATTAGTTTTTGTCTTATCCTCCCGCACACAAAGGACAAACTCATACCTCTCAAAGTAAAGCACATGTACGGAGTCACTCTATTGTCTCCAAGCATGCTTACTTACTTTGTGAAGACTACCGTGCTAACCTTGGTATGGAAGTTATGCATTCAACCTTTTCTTATCTAATGAATCGTAGTTCTCGAACGAGAAACCGAAAAGATTCTGGAGCATCTTCTCAAGGGTGCTAAATAAATAAATTAATATTTCCATTTATTCATCAAGTTGTTCATATACGGCCAAAAGCTTGTATAGTTGAAGACAAAGGACAGGCTCACCTCTAGAAGCTTGCCACGTGATGTATACCTTCTGACTTGCTGTAACATCGTGATTACACTAAAATAAAAAAAAATACAAATTTTCAGGAATATTTAACCGATCAAATAAAAGTTCACCCGAAACCAAGACGAGATACAATTTCTAATTATCCACCAAAAGTTAAGTTTAGTTTGACCGATAAGTCAAACATCCCTTGAAAATAGTTTAAACAACTTACAAACTAAGACTTTTACAAACCAAAAGTCGGGACAATAGTATAACTACCCAACATACGAGTAATAATTACCAACTCGAAACATCAAAAACCTACAAAACCTATACCAAAAGTTACTTCCAAATCTTCTTATATGTCAATCGAAAGCTAACCCTCCTTGCCTTTATCTCGACCCGTATCGATTATTCCTGAGACTTTTAAACTTAAGGGGGTAAGCGAATCGCTTAGTGAATATATCAAAGCATAAAATTAGATGCAATATACATATCTTAACAAAAGAATTAGGAGGCAAAACTGATTAATCTCTAGCTTTCAAATTTTTGCGGAACATATCACGTATAAAATTAACAAAACCATAACGACTCACTGATCCTTAATACGTCAAATGAACACTTATTGATTCATAATTAAACCAGAAATGAGTACATAACATACCTTACAAATTTGTAATTAAAATTGGAATCAACGGGTTACATGTATGATTTTGGTACCAGATCAAATCAGCGTATCAAGAAGCCATACAACTCACAAAGTACTTAGCGTCAATGAAACCATATCGATCATAATAATTCAGTAGCATGATCAGAGTAGAGTAAATATGTGCACCACACCCCTTCTTCATCTACTGGGCCCGTGCAAAGTACTCACACCCGACTCCTTACCATTCGGGATACGTGAGTACGACAACCGGTATGCCACACCCAACCTCCCTATCCTTGGGATACATGGACATACACCACGATATGGCATATCACACAAAGTAATACCTGTAGATCATGGTTTACCTATAGACAAAAAAGAAGGTCTCGGATAGGGGTGTTCAAAAAAATCGTTGGACCGTTCAAATTGGCCGAACCAAGTCAAACCGGACCGTTATTGGCGGTTTGAGCGGTCTGACGGTCCGGTCTGGTTTGGAAAATAGCAAAACCGGGCGGTCCAGTCCGGTCTGCGGTTTGGAACCTTTTTTGGACGGTTTGGATCAAACCGACCGCCAAATACATATATATATATATATGTGTGTGTGTGTATATATATATATATATATATTTATCTAATTTAATATTAGCAAGCCCAAATATATCCCTAAGCCTAACATCTAACATAATCAAAATCGACGACTAAAACCATTAAACCATTGAACATATCGACGCATTTGATATTGACAGTCTCCAAATTTTGAAATCCCTCAAAAACTTCATCAATCTATTGATCTTTCTAATCCATGGTTTGATTTCGGCGCACATCATTAAGACGTCAACCAAGTGATTCAACCAACTTAGATTTGGCTTCTATTTTGTTTGGTCAAGAACTCAAGACTCAAGAATTGAACCATTGAAGATGTGAAGTCGTGGATTTTGTTATTCAATACTCACAATAGAGTTTGTAACTTTGTTAATTTGTTTGTTTTCTAATATGTTATATATTTATTTGTTTGTACTTTGGATTGCTTCGACTTTGTACTCAAGAGCTGCTTAATTATTACATTTATTTGTTTAGATATTTTGTCTTGTTAAAATGGATATTTAATCTAAAATTCTAAATTATATATGTTTTTTAAGTTTAATATTTAAAGTCCATTAAAGGCCCAAACCGCCTAAACCGGTCAGACCAGACCGCTTTTTCGTGGTTTGGTTTGACTGGTCTTGGCACTTGATGTCAAACCGTTCGATTTGAAAATTTTATAAACCGCCATTACGGTTTGGTTTGTGGTTTGAGGGGTTAAACCGCCCAAACCAAACCGCGAACACCCCTACTCTCGGATCCAGACTCGATCGACATCTCGGATTGAACAACAAATACCAATTCAGGACCATGGGACTCGACACGCTCAAGATATTCGATAGCACATGCAAAATTTATCTAACAAACAGAAGAAAAACTATATATGTATAATACACGTAAGTACGTGTTCGATATAAACTCACTATGTTTCGATATGATTCAAACCGACGCGTAAATTTCCATTTCCAACCCAAAAATGGAATTAGCCCATGCCAAGCTCCAGATATCCTTTTTAATACCATTTGCTTAATCTTTCAATTTCACCAAAAATCTTGTTAAA